TGACCCCGGCCTTGGGAGGGTGGTGGCGTGTGAGCTCTGCGGCTGGGGGCAGGGACCTTCTGCCACCGAGGGCGACACCCGCTAGGCCGGGCAGCCCGGGCGCTCATGCAGATGGTGCCAAGGCTCGGATGGTGCTGTCACTGATGATGGAGAACCTTGGAGGTTGCTGCAGCGACCGCGCATCAAGGGAAACCCCAAACCAGGACAAAACAAAATGAAAACCAAGGTCACGACCTGCAGAAAGCAGAGGGTGGCCTATGAGAGGAGGGACTCACAGGCCGGGCTGGGCCGGCCACAGCGAGTGATCCAGGAGGCCCGGTGCGGTGCGGGGCTGCGAGGTCTTAAAAGACATTATTGTTCATCAGTCGCAAAGGACCAAATGCCAAAACGGTGTAGCTTCGGTATTTCAGGTCAGAAAGAATGAAGATGTCACCAGATAGGGGGAAACAAATACACGCAAAAAAAAAACCTAATCAAAAGAATCTAGCCCACCCACTCCACCCGTTTCCTAAGGTAGAAAGAATCTCCTAAATAGGGACAATAAGTGAGAAGATGGATGGACAGGACAACGAAAGTAGGAAACTAAATGAGGCTGACGCCTACAGAGGAACTTCACATGAACATGTTCAAGTTAGTACTTAAGGTAAGGATGAGTAAAAGGCAAGAATGAGTACGGGGACATGATGTTTTTGTTGCATCAGCATACTTAACAGTCATGTAAATGACTAGGAAAATCTAGGAATGTTTTCCTTGCAGGACTAGAGGAGTGTGAAGGGCTCAGATGACAATAATTTAGAAAAGAGGCAACTGTTTTTAATGAAATGTATATACCCGTTATTCTCTGCACGAGGTACACAGTGGCGATCTGATGCTGTAGGTGTGTCATTTCTTTTGGTGGAGGTTGTTGATGCGTTTAGGTAAAGGAATCTGCTTATTGTCCTTCTAGCAGCAAATCACAAATTCTTAGCATAAAGTACTTTTATACAATGAATATTTAAAATACTAGCAAATACTTCAACCTGCATCCTCCAAACCCCACACACATCTATAATAATAAAAGCGTAATATGCTAATTAGACCAGACAGCTGAACGACCTTCCAGACAACCTTCTGGACGAAGCCGGGGCTGCGAGGGCTAGCCCCTTGCACCAATTTCGTGCATTGGGCCTCTAGTGTACATGTAATACATTAAACTTGTGCTCTGATGGACAAAGACAGAACTTTTCATCAACCACAGTTGATCTGGGAACAGAATAGGAATGTAGGAAACATCAAGTAGTCTTTTGTTTTCTTCTTTAAAAAAAATAAATTTTACTTTTAAAGTTGAGAGACAGGATCATGCAGTTTTAATTTAAAAGACCATACTCAGAAAGCCAGGACTCCGAGTTCACGGCTTACTGGTTGTATCGTTACTCAACTTCTCAAAGCCTGTTTCCTCACCTGCAAAAGGAGGTTGATAGTGTCTTCCTCATACCATTATGAGAGTTAAATGAGATAATACATTTTAAAAAAGAATGGTACCCCTAGCACATAGTGAGCATTCAGTCAATTTGTTTAATATTTTTATTTGTTCATTTATTTACTTTATGGCTTTATTTATTTGCTTATGTTACTGCTAGGAGCCCAGCACACGATTCGAAATCACCCAGCGCCACCCACTCCCTCTCCAGCCCTTGAAGCAGCCATGGCCGCTGCTGATCAGGCCCTCCCCCAGCACAAGCGTGGGGAGGCCCCTGCTGCCCTGCCCCCGACGGTTCCCCCAACGCTGCACGTGCAACCTCCTCCTGTCCAGTCAACATTACTGCATCCCGGTTAATTAGCATATTTCTCTATTTTTATATATATATAGCTTGTTTATTGTTAATGAAAGTATACATTGTTTTAGAAGTCAAATAATTACTAAAGTCTGTATCTTACCCTTCCCAAGTTTCCAATTGTACATTCTGCTTGTTACTTTGGTATTTGACCTTTTTCCCCCCCTCTGAAAACTTTTATAATCTTCTCTTTATCCTGGTGTTTAAACAATTCACAACAATAACCACTGGTGTGGGCATTTTTTCATTTATTGTGCTAGATACTTTAGGGCCCTTTCAGTATGGAAATTCATGTCTGAAAGTTCTGTATACTTTTTTAAAAAAATAGATTTTTATTGATTTTCAGAAAGGAGAAGGATAGAAAGACATAGAAACATTAATGATGAGAGAGAACCATTGATTGGCTGCCTCCTGCGCGTTCCACACAGTATCGAACCTGCAACCTGGGCATATGGCCTGATCTGGAATCCATCCCTGACCTCTGGTTTATAGATTGATACTCAACCACTGAGCCATGCCGGCTGGGCCTATATATTTTTCTTGTATTATTTCTTTGACAGTCTTCTCCATTTTCTGTTTTCTTTTTTTGAAACCTCTATTAGTTTGAAGTTACATCTTCTGACAGTTCCTGATCTAATTCTACTCTTTCGTTTGTTCCAACTACTTCATTTTTTTTGTTGGTTTGCTTTTGTGGGAGATATCTTTATCTCCAGAGATAACTTTATCTTCTAGCCTTTCTGTTGAATGTTTTATCTCAGTTATCTTAATTTTTTAATTCAAAGAACTATTCTCTGTTCCCTGATGTTCTTGTGTTACAGTGATCTATTTTGTTTTATGGCTGCTACATGTGTCTTTTTACTATAAGGATATGAATTATAGTTTTCTTTTTAAGTTGTCTTCTGCTCCATGCATTGTGTTATCTCTTCCAGGTTCTTTTTTATATTTTATTTTCAATGCTTTCACTATCATTTTGAGGTTTTCTCCACATATCTGTGGTTGTTGCCTATCTATATTTGAGGCCTCTCAGAAGCTCTTTTTACAGGACCATGGCTTTTTATTTGGTGATCTGGGCTTTTCATTAGAGTGGCATCCACATCCCAGTATTTTATAAATATTTTTCTCTGGTCTCATTGAGCTTCTCCAAAGAATGGGAGAGGTGGGAGGAACAGTAACCTGGATGCACAGCACATTGCATGTATGTGCGAGAACATGTGTGTTGGGGGAATATCCAGTGATGTACTTACATATTGTTATCCTCTGTTTTCAGCCTCACAGCTTTCTCTGCCAACACAGTTCCTTGTGTTCCGAAGGCCTTATCCTTTCTGAGATCTGTAACCCGAATTAGCTTGCTTCCGTTTGGTGTCCTCCTCCATGGTACCCAGGTTGTGCCTCTGCTCCTCTGGTCAATTGCCTTTCCTCCATCTCTTCAAGTTTATAAAAAAATTAATGAATTCTCTTGAGTGTCCTTTTCTCTTTCCTAGTTTTTGTATGTTTATACCTTTTAAGAAATATTTTATTGTGATTTTAATGTGGTTTTGGGAGGAAGAGGTTGAAAGAAACTCATAAGGTCAGTCTGCCATTTTTTCAGAAGTATTTTAAACCTGTGTTGCCACTTCATTTATTATGCTTATTTGATTTTCCTGAAGTGGTGGAAATGTTTCCTTTTGATGTTTAAAACTATAGCAAGAACACTTGATTTATAAAGCCTCTTTTAATTAAGCAGTATGTTATATTTAACATAGCCTAGCATATAAATTACCCTGTGTGTGTTATGAGACTAATTTAATTGATGGCAATAAGCAGCAGTAACCTACAGACATGCAGCATGTTCTATTACCATAGCCTTGAAGATTTTTAAAGACATTGCCTCTGAACTTCCAGACAGCCTTCCCCAACTCTACCATATACTCCAAGATGATGACTTTTTGCAGTTATTAATTGCCTGTCTTTTCTGCTTGTCTTCGCCCTTTAAGGAGAGGTCTTGTGTTGGTCTTGATCACCTTTATATTATCATTGCTTGGTATGGGACATAACCCTGATAGATATGCAATAAATGTTTGTCAAATGAATAAGTTTATATCAAATACTTGCATGGGACCTGCACATTGAAAAGGCGCAACCACAGTCTGTGAGAATTAATAGTTTAATATCTTGTTCAGCTATAGTAGTTATTTATAGCATTGGAATTGGGAAGACTTCAGTTAAGGTCAAAATTCCAGGCTTTGGGAAACCAAATCACATGACACTATATTTATTTTAATTGTGCAAGTT